CCGGAGCGCGGAGCCCGCAGCTCGGAGCGCGGAGCGCGGAGCCCGGAGCGCGGAGCTGGCCGCGGAGATGTGGCGGCAGCCGGCGGGACGCGCTGCCCGGCTCCGCGGCTGACGGCGGCGGCTCCGCGCCGGGCGGAGCGCGCACCCCTCTCCCTTGCGCAGCGCGCCGGCCTCCTCCGCGCCCGGATTTGGGATCTACCTTGGTTCGGGGCGGGGGGGCTTTTTTTTTTTTTTTTTTTTTTTTTTTTTTTTTTTTTTTTTTCCCCGCACACACCCCCGCCACGCCTTTTGTCTTCGCTATTTTTTACGCTTGAGGAGGAACTCTTGGATTTACTAACATGATCCTGGCCAACGCCTTCTGCATCATCCTCTTCATAGGTGAGTGGCCCGGGYGGGGGGGCCGCGGTCCTTGCCGGGGGCACGAGGTGGTGGTTGCTCCACAGCAGAGCGTAGGGGACAGGGGAGAGGGGGGACACGTCCTTCCTGTGTGGAGCCACCAGAGAGAGGGGGCCACGCTGCTTCGGACCAGGTGTCGTGTGCTGCACAGCCAGGCTCTCCTCCTGCATCGGGAGACTRAGGAGGCGACAAAACCGAATTTTTCCGAAGGACAACTTCATCAACCTTTCCTTTTTTAAAGTTAAGATGGGGGGGGAAATCCCAGCCTCCCCGCTGGGAAGTGCCACCGTACAGCACCACACGGGCTGGCTGCCGACCTACCGAGGGAACACGCGAGGAGCAGCGCTCACCGTGTGGCAGCAAAACTGCTCTTTGATGCCCCTCTCCTTGCCGGCTGACAGCGGATGTGCGTTTGAGAGGCTCTGAGCTCCTGCTTGGCCCCGAGTGCCCTCCATCCCTGCCGTGGTGGCTCCCGTCTGCCCCGTTTCTGCTCACGGCTTGGAACTCGCTGTGGAGAATCAGTTCGGAAAGTTGAGCTAATTGCATGCGTATGTGCAGGGAATTGCTGTTCCCTCTGTTGCAATTCCAGCACACGTTGCTTGAGATCACGGGCGAGGTTTTTCGGAGCTTGTCTGTGCCAAGGGAAGAGGCTTCGCATTTCTAGGGCAGCCTCCTCCAGAGGTGCGGCAGAAATGGGGGGGAAGTGGTGAAGACAGAGGCTGGGGCGGATCCGGGCTGGAAAGGAGGCGCAGGGGGAAGGTCCCTTGTCCCCGCTGTGAGGCAGGTGACGCACCTCGGGACACAGGTCATGTGCCAGGACATGCTCCAGGTGCGCTCACAGCCATACCTGCACCCGCTGGTTCCCTGCACACGTGCGCGTGCGATCCCCAGCGTGCTGCAGCTCCCGGGAAAAACTCTGCTGAGGATGCAGGGAAGGGGCAGGGAGAGACCTGGGGGTTGGGAGAGCAACGCTCCCTTGGGATGCGCCGGATGGGCACCGAGCTCAGCYGGTCCTGCAGTGAGGACGATGATGAGACGCTCTTCCTCCCCCATGCTCTGGGCTGTCGCCTGGATAGGTGTGAARGATCCAGCAGAAAGGCCCCTCGCTCCCGGTCAGGGAAGCTCGAATCCGGTCTGAGCTCCAGGGATGCTGGGGTTTCCTGGTGTTTCCTGAGCCCTTTGCGTGGCCTCCCAAATCCAGACTCTCCTTTCTGAGGAAACAGGAAAGCCCTTTGGGTTGGGATAAAGCAACCGCTGCCGCAGGGACAAGGCTGCCCCTCCAAAGCTGAGCTGGGAGCATCCACACTTGCCACCAAAGCCGCCCATATCCAAAGGGCTCTGGCACAAGCAGGAAAAGGAAACGTCTCAGAGCTGGAGAAGAAAAGCGCTGTGCGCTCAGCGCTGTCAGAGCCCTGTGCATCTACCTGCAAATCCTCCTGTGCTCTGACACGCTGGAGCTGCCGGGGGATTAGCTCGGAATTCTCTGCAGATGTTTTATTGATAGGAGCTCGGTGGGCACGTGCTGGTGAGGCGAGCGCTGCGGGGAGGAAAGCCTGCACCCCAGCCTTGCCCCTTGCTGTCTCYGTGTCCCGAGGAGGCTCCCGTGAAAGCCCCTCTGGAAGTGGGATTTGGGATGGAGGGGACAGGCTCTGGTGCTGGCTTTGCTGTTGCGTGTCCTGCCGGTGCAGCGGGAATGCCGGAGCCCTCCATTGGGATGGATCCCACCCTACCACCCATCCTTGGCAGTGGTTGCAGGCAGCGCCTCTGGTTCCTGTGGAGCCTGGGGACACGCCGGGACACCCTGGGGCCAAGGATGTGGCTGGGACAGGCCGGAGGAGGGAGAGGCTTCGGATGGCGCTTCAGGAAGGGCTGCAAAGGAGCTTCCCAGCACCAACTGGAGCAGGCAAGGCTGGAGTCTGGGATATCTCGCAAACGGATCAGCAGGGATGGAGGAGACATGGGATACTGCGGAGCTGCGGAGAGGCTCCTTTCTGCACCAAAACGCAGCCCGTCTCGTGGTGAAGAGCTGACGTCCCCAGCCTGGGCACCCGGCTCTCCTGTCTTGGGCCAGCCTAGGAGCTATGCTGGCACCCTGGGCTCATCCCACTGCTGYCTCCATGTGGAATACAATCCCCAAGGGCCTCCGTGACCCTGCACTGGATGTGATGGGACTTGGCACCCGCTCCCAGCTCTCCGTGCGCCCTTTGGAGCAGCTCGGCTCTCTGGGGCTCCAGCGGATGCCAGTGGGGCTGGATCCGCTCCTCGGCCGGGATGMAAGCAGTGCGTTTCCACCGGAGTGGCTGAGCCTGGTGTGTCCCCTTCCCACATGACACGTGCTCCCGTGTCCCCGCATGGGTTCCCGGGCCGCTCGGACAGTGCTGGGCCACGCTGGAGCAGGAGCTGGAGCGGGATGCAGGGCGGCAACCAGGGCGCAGTGAGCTGCGGTGCCAGCCGACCCTCAGCGCCGTGCAAGGGGCGCTGGTGGCCCGAGCCACATGCCTGTAGATGTCACTGTCACCTGCCTGCAGCCGGGCGCGTGGCACCTTGCCCATGTGCTGCTTCCCAATGTCACAGCGAAAGGAGCCMCGCGTGCCCCGGCAGCTCCGCAGGGGCTGCAGGATGCAGGATGCATGGCAAGCCCCGGGCACCCCACGCTGGGACAGGCAGTGCCCTGGGCGAGAAGCTGTTTGGAAGCRCAAGAAAATGCCTAAACGCTGCTGGGGACGTGCACATGATGGAGCGGGTGCTGTGGGCTTGCATGGGGCTGCTGCCGGGAGCAGCGGGAGGGTGCTGCCACGCGCGCACGGTTCCCCCGGGCGCAGGGGACGGGAGGCGGCGGGTGGCAGGGTGGCCGCCCCTCACTGCTCCCGTGTCTCCCCGGTGCAGCCGAGCTCCCGTGCGGCCGCGCGGGCCCCTCGGCGGCACCGGGCGCGGAGCCGCCGGGCTGGCGGGCGCCCGTGGACTGCGTGCGAGCCAACGAGCTGTGCGCCGCCGAGGCCGCGTGCAGCGCCCGCTACCGCACGCTGCGGCAGTGCCTGGCCGGCCGCGACAGGAACACCATGCTGGCCAACAAGGAGTGCCAGGCGGCCCTCGAGGTGCTGCAGGGGAGCCCGCTGTAYGAGTGCCGCTGCAAGCGCGGCATGAAGAAGGAGCTGCAGTGCCTGCAGATCTACTGGAGCATCCACCTGGGGCTGGCTGAAGGTACGGCGCGGGTTGCGTGCGTGTGCGCCGCAGGCACGTCCTGCACACCGCGGGAATGCTGAGCACGCTGCATGCACGCCTTGCGTGTTGCATGCACGTTGCATGCACGTGGCAGCGGCTGCAGCATGCAGTGCAGGCAGGAATTGCTGCCCTGTGGGAATGGCCTCCTGCTCCGGCTCAGCCCTGGGGCTGGCTCTCCCAAAAAGCAGGACTGGCTGCTCCGTTATCCCTCAGCCCTCCTTAGCAGCCTCCATTACAAAGGACCCTGCAGACACGAAGGCAGGAATCTTCCCTGCCTGGTGGCTATGCCAGGCCCTATCCCCAGGCCCTATCCTGAGAGGATGAGGAGGGGAGAAGACGAGTGAATCTGCCAGGAGGAAGAGCCTCCGGGGAGATCCCTGCAGCCGAGAACCGCTGCTCCGGCTTCCCTGCGGCCGGCCCCTTTCCTGCGGGAGCCCGCCGGTCCTTGCCATTAAGGAGGGCTGCCTGCACTCCAGTGCTGCTCCTTGAGGTTAATTGCATCTCAGCTAGCTCGAGAAAAGTCCGCTGCCCTTTTAATGCTCGGTAATTTTCCTAGCCAGCAGCAGGGTTCAGCTGCTATTTAATTATTTATTGCAGCGGCAAAGCAATAGAGTGGGAGGTTACAGTGTTTCCTAAATGCACTTTAATAAAGGTGCTATTTGTCATTGGAGCATTAGGAAACCCGACAAGGCAAAATGGGGAAGACTTTGCCCAGAGCCCGGGTATAAGCCAGCCCTAAAGCTCCAGCAGAACATTCCCGCTGCGGCTCCGCGCTCCCCATTCCTAGGGAAGGGTGTGGAGYGGCAGCAGGGCCAGAGCGAACCCTCCTTCCTCGTTCCCAGCTCTTAATGAGCTTGTTTTGCAGCACGAGGCTTCAAGTGGCTCCTTAATTGCAAGGCATAAATGCTATCGCCTCCGGCTAATAATACCCTGGTAGAGCAAGCGTGGGCTGGCCTTCCTCGCACTTCAGCGTCTTCCTCATGATCCAGTGGCTCTGATGGGAGGGACATTAGGAGCCCCTTGGGCTGGGGCATCCCAGTTCCTTGGGATAACACAGTGGGGATGCTCCAGTGCCAGTGGGATGGGGTTATCCCATCAGGCCTGGATTCCTCCATTGCGGGAAGAATCATGGAAATTCTGCTATTTTCCCCAAATAGGTCAGGGAYAGAACAGGGCAGAATCCTGTTTTCAGTGTTCTTTGAGGCAGGGCCTTTTTCCACACCAAAGGAATAAACCCCAAAGCCAGGGTGAAGTAAAGACCGTGAAGCTTTGAGCTTGCAGGGGGCCCAAATGCTGCCCCTACCCCCCAAAAACGTTCCCCTTTTGCGTCTGAGTTCTCCAAACCCTTAGTGACCACGCTCAAGGTTTTCAGGGTGATTTTTTAGGGCGATTGCTTTTYGATTCCTGAGTGTGAAAATTCCCGGCAGCATCCCGGGAGCACGTGGGAGGGGATGGAGAGAAGGATGGAGACCTGGGAGCCAGGGGGGATGTTCACCCAGCCTTGGCCTGGGGAGGCAGCCGGGACCTGCACAGGGGCTGTGCTTATTCCCTGGGAGCTCTTAATTTGCTTTCTCTTCCTTTCTTCTTCCCCTGCTCCAGGAGAGGAATTTTACGAAGCTTCCCCCTATGAGCCGGTCGTCTCCCGTCTCTCTGATATATTCAGGCTTGCTTCCATTTTCTCAGGTAATAAAAGCGACGCGCATCCCCTGTTTTATCCTGGCCTGCCAGGGAATTTCAACCTGCTTCCCAGCTCACCGGGAATGCAACCCACCCGGGAATGCCCTGCTAAACCTCCGTGTCCTCTCCTGCCTCTGGGACACGGTGCCTTGAGCATCCCTAGGGGCTTGGGGCTGGTTTGGCCCTTTGGGSCAGATCCTCCCTGTTTTGGGCCATCCTTCAGGGCTTGGACCTGCGCAGCGGGGCTGGGGACAGATGAGCCGGGGCTGGGATGTGCTGCGAGCTCCTGGGAAGCAGAACTCCAGAGCGGTCTGATAGGAACTKTTTAGGCATCTATTTCCATGACAGCCCTCGTGCCGCTCCCCAGCCTGGTGATGAATGGGGTCAGGCCGGGGAGCGCCTCTCCTCTTCCTCACTCTTCCTCCCGGCCCTGTCCTATCCTAGGAGCCCCATCTGTGTCTGGAGCAAGCGAGCGGCTACTGCTGCTTCTCCATAACGAGGAGGAGATGGAGTGCTGCTAATTGCCTGTGGGGATAGCAGTGGGATTACATTATCTTTCTGGAAAAGGGGCTGCCTAAGCAAGAGGGGATGCAGCCACACATGCATCAACAGGGCAGCTAGCAGTTCCTGTCCCATGCGCCATGCCTGAGACCGGAGCAGCCGGATGAGCAGAGGAGCAGAGCCTCTCCATGCTCACAGCCCTGGCACCAGAATGAATGCACCGGGATGCACATGCAGGATGCAYGCACCAGGAGGCAAATGCAGGATGCATGCATTGGGATGCACATGCAGGATGCATGCACCGAGATGCACACGCAGAATGCATGCACTGGGATGCACACATAGGATGCATGCACCAGGATGCACACATAGGATGCATGCACTGGGATGCACACGCAGGATTCATGCACCGAGATGCACATGCAGAATGCATGCACTGGGATGCATGCACTGGGACGCAAGCACCGGGATGCGTGTACTGGGATGGCCCTGCTTGCAAGATGCCGACTCCTTGACTCCCGTTTCTCTCCTGCCTCATGCAGTTTTCATGCTGGTGCTTTATTAATGAGCTCCCCAGAAACCCGGCGCTTCCAAGCCTTGGCTCCATTAAAATGCATCCAGGTCCCCGCAGGTCTCAGGCAGAGCTGGCACGGGCGCCAGGCAGGATTAGGTCATAAGCTGGTGCTTTGCAGGGAACAGGGAGCGAGCGCTTCCCTCGGGAATGGGAGCAACACAGCATTCCGGCCGTGAGCTGCCACGGGGGTGGCTTCAGGATCCCCCCAATGTTTTTCCCCAGATTTTGGGAATTCGGAGCGGCAAGGGGAAGAGCGGGTTGTGTACACAGGGAGCTCCTTCCTGTTTGCCAGTCATCTGTTTCTAGTGGGAATCCCTCCTCTGTGCTCCCCCTCACCTTTTCCAGTAGGAACCCAGGGAGCGCTGGAAGAACCCCAGGAATCAGTCGGGTTACAGAGGAGAGGAAATAAGGGCAGAAATTACTGGTGCAGTCAGATGACTTTTAAAATAGCACCTGGCTTGCCAAGGGTGATTCATCAYTTTGACAAAAGAAAAAGGGGAGAAAAGAAAAAAAAAAGAAAAAAAATCRGCCCTTATTCCTGCCTAGTGGCTTGGCTCCAGTTTTGTGGGTGCCCGGGATTCCTGGCAGGCTCCATTGGAGCAGCTCCGGCCAGCAAGGGGATGCTCCGAGGTGACCTGGTTCCTGGGAGGTGACCCAGCAGGAGGGAAAAATAATTCCTTATTCCTTGAATAACCGGCTCGGAATAACCTGTGCGCACGCGTGGTGTGAAGCAGCATCCCCAGGCGCTCTTCCCGCTTGCTCCCACGCAGGAACAGACCCCGCCGGCGCCTCCAAAAGCAACCAGTGCCTGGACGCAGCCAAGGCGTGCAACCTCAACGACAACTGCAAGCGCCTGCGCTCYGGCTACATCTCCACGTGCAGCCGGGAGCTGCCGGCGGCCGAGCGCTGCAGCCGCCGCAAGTGCCACAAGGCGCTGCGGCAGTTCTTCGACCGCGTGCCCGGCGAGTACACCTACCGCCTGCTCTTCTGCTCCTGCCGGGACGCGGCGTGCGCCGAGCGCCGCCGCCAGACCATCGTGCCCGCCTGCTCCTACGAGGACAAGGAGCAGCCCAACTGCTTGGAGCTGCGTGGCGCGTGCCGGGCCGACCCCCTGTGCCGGTAAGGGCTGCGCGGCGAGCGCGGTGCCGGCGGCGAGCGCACGGTGCCGGTGGCGAGCGCGCGGTGCCGGTGGCGAGCGCGGTGCCGGCAGCGGTGAGCTCGGGCCCCGTGCCGTGGCACCCGTGGGGAATCCTGCCGGCAGCAAGGGGCTGCCCATGGGAGCGTTGCCGCCTCCGCTCCCACTTGGGATTCACCGTGGGCTGCGGAACCCACCCAGTGTCCCCCTCCTTGCGGAGGAGCTGAGCCGGGGGAGAGTGGGGGTTTTGCCCCGTTAGGAAGCTTGTTATTCAGAAAATAAATCCAGAGACTTGTCACCCTCCCCGGGGCCGGATCAGCCTCGTAAGGAATTGGCTGCCCACGTGGAGGAGGCTCCCYACCATGCGGAGGTGATGGAGGCTCCCGGCGGGGCGGCCAAATAAATAAATAAGTCGGGTGGGTGCTGCGCGGGAGCGAGTTGGCGACGGGGGAAATGTGGCTTTTTACCAAAAAATAGTACAACAAGGCAGTGTCTATGAATAAGAGACGCCGGGGCTGTGCACCTCTCCGGCGCTGGGGCTGCCCRCTGACCGCCRGGGCCGCGTCCAGCTCGCCAAGGGCACGAGCCCGCGGCACGCGGAGAGTGGCAACTCCGGAGCATTTATTGCAGCCCCAGGAGCCCCAGGGAGGCTCGTGCTGCTCGGAAAGAGCCTGAGGATTTTGGGAGCGAYGTCCCCACGTGGGCAGGGCTCTGTGCGGGGTGCCCGGGGCGGCACCATCCTGTGCCCGGGGATGCGCTGGGGTTTCCCTGCGCTCTTGGCACCAGCTCCCTGTGCTGTGGATAAAGCAAGCTCAACAGTCCCGGCCTATTCCCCACAGAGCTCCCACGCACTGCAATATCACATTACCCTTTTTTTCTTATTTAATGCATTTCTACGGCACCCCTGGGACAGCAGGTTTTAGAGAGGATGGGCTGGAGTAAAAGGTGGCTCCCTTGGGATCCTCCGGCTCTTCCTCCTTTAAAAAGCCGCCGGGAGCTGCGCTCCCCCTGGCCCTGTCTCTGAGCTCCTGGCCAGGCGAATGTGGAGCAATCAGGCGCCCATCCCTGCAATTTGCGGAGCTTTCCGTGCTGGGAAGCTTTTCCTGGAGCCGCAGCGGATTCTGACCAACTCAGCCTTGCTTTGTGCCTGATTGCAATGGACAGGTTTTAGCTTCCAGAATATGAAAACCTTTTTGCAAAACACTAACCTCAGCTAAGAGGGAAAGGAAGGAAAGGGAAGAAAAGAGCTGATTTCAGCAGCTGCAGTTTGCTGTATTTTTCATCTTGCATCAGCAAGTCGGGAGCACAAATAATCTGCTCTTATATGCCTCACTGAGGCTGGTGCCAAAGAAATTCCCAGCCTCCACTGGCTGTTRCTCCTCAGCACCCAAAGACAGGACAATGCTTCATTTTCTCATGGTTTTTTCCTCCTTTTTTTCATGCATTTAAGGCAGTATTGTTCCTGGGGGTCCTCAAATTTTGCCCAATTTCTTTCTGGGTCCTCATGTGAATTGTGGAGGTCCTTGGACGTGCAATAGGTTCTTTGGGCTCGTGCGTGCCCTGCAGGTGCCAAGCAGCTCCCACCGG